GGGTTAGAGGGTTCATGTTTTTTTGGAGTTAAGGATTTCATTGCTTTAGAATTTTGCATTTTTGAGTCTAGTGAGTTTCGGGTTTTCTGGGCGGTACTTCGAAGGCTCCATGAAGAGGTGCTTCATAAACAAAAGGGAAATTGCGACATATCCCGAAGTGCCACCCAGGTTTGTGTTGAGGCGGCACTGGCATGCAGCGCACCCACAGATTGACAACATTGGAATGGTTGGGCGCATTACAAAGCGCTTCTTCCTGTCCGACCCCATCCTCCCCAAATACCTCTACAGTCTACAGCCTCCAAATATCATCATGCTTCATGATGCGTAGCTGGTGGGTTAGTTGCTGAGTTCCCTGGCCCAAAAAGGCTAAGCTCTTAACCTGTCACTATAATGATGGCTCCATACGGGTCCCAACAAGTCTAAGGCTACCCACTCAGCTACTAGGAACCTTAACCCCCGAAGGGTTTACGTAGGGTTCAGGCTTCGCAAAATCCAAAACCCTGCTTGGAGGTGCAGGGCAGTTATAACCCAATACAAACTGGTACGTATAACCCAGCTATAACCCCACTAGGGGAATTATGAAGGGCTTACAATTGGGTGAGTAGTGCAATTGTAACTGGGATACAAACTACCCTGAAATCCCCCTCAAACGGAAAGCCTACACTAAGTTCGAGACCTGAGCTATAGTCTAAGCTCCTAGTATCCCCCTTAGTCAGCCCTATAATTGTCCCCTATATAATCCCCTATAACCCCCCTTCAAGGAGTTTAAACTACAGCTCACCTGATAAAAGCGGCGAGTGCAACACACATCGCTGGTACGTAGCATACGCCAGCATCGCCGATGCCATGGCTTTGGGCTCAGAGTTTTAGGCTTTTAGGGGTTAAGGTTTAAAGTTTCAGGGTTTTAGGGTTTTGGTGGCTTTAGGGGTTTCAGGGTTTGGGGTTTTGGGTGTAGGGTTGAAGGCTCAAAGTTTAGGTTTTTGGGTTTGGGCTTAGGGCTCACGATCAGGGTCTACGAGGGCTACCGGTTCCTTTCTCTGATGTTTCTCTGAAGTTGTAAATGCTTTTTTTGGGGGATCTATTTGGCGTTAGAGAATATACTAAAGATGAAAATCCATTCGCAGGAATGATGAAAGGCATAGGTTTGGGGTGAGGGTGGACTTAGACGGTCAACGGGACTTCGTAAAGAACAGTCATGGGGATAGCTAGAGTTGCTACAAACTTGAGGAAGATTATGAGCATACTTGCTGTACTATTTGAGCGTCAGTATTCAAAGTCTAGGGCTGAGGGTTTATAGCTAAGGAATCAAGGCTCAAGCTTCAGCCGCTTCAGCCGTGGCCTAAACAGGCTCAAACCCTAAATCCTAAACCTTAAACCCTTAAGCGGCCCAGGAGGTTCAGGGTTTGGATCTGACGGCTAGGGTTTGAGCATGCAGGGTTGCGCGACTAGGGTTTGGGGTTTAGGGTTTTGGGCTGAGGGCTTTGAGCTTCAGGAATAGTTGGAAATGGAGGGGGGGAGGGTTAGGAGCCGTATGCATCTATTACCTCCGCTCAGCTTTTGGAGACTCTGCGGGAGCCTCACGCGGAATGCGCCGCTCAAAATGCTTGCCCACGAGAGTGTCAACTTGCAACATGCACTGTTTACGGTTTAAGGTCCAGACACCGTGGAAGAATTTCGGCAACAAAAAAAGCGGTGGGGCCTCATGGGCCTCCCAAAAACCGTGGAAACATTGAACATCAATCAACGTAACTCACGGGTTCAAGACTTCAGGTACACTTTACGATGGGGGGTCGCAAAGGTTTGGATTTCAGAAGTTCCCAAACTTCATGTAACCCCTATATTAGAACTATAGTCTAAACTCTCCCGTGTATAATGCCTTACATAGCACCCTTTAAGGAGTTTATACTATTGCTCATACGAACCCTGTGTAATTCCTGGACAAGCCTCATCTGTTTGTTCTTGAGTAGCTATGCCGCTTGACCCGATCATGGGATGTGAGAGCATCGGGATGGGAACCACTAAGCTTTGGGCACGTATGTGGAGGGGTCATATAGGGATAGATAGGGACTGTACAAGGGCTATATGGGGTTTATATGGGGGTTACATAGTTGGATGTCGAAAAAAGGGCAGGTCCAATAGATGATAGCTCGACTAGGCCAAAGGACCCCTAATCCCATTATATATCCCTTATATAGTCATTATGTAACCGCTATATCCCTAGGTACTCCCCATATTAACCCCCATAAGCTACAAGGACCCTACGAGGGGTCCCTCCTAAAGTCCTTAGATCCATCCATTAAGACAGGTCATCCGCATAGCAGGAACCATCCCGGCCAGCTTGAGCTAGTGGCAGGGTCGCCCTCAAGTGGCAGAATGCACAAAATTCTACCCAATAAATTATATGAACTTAGTATCCCCCTTAATAGCCCCTATAGTTAGTAGCCCCCTATATCTCTTACAACCCCCTAAAAGCGTGTAGACTATACCTCATGTCTTATATACCTTTCTTGTACAAAGCCACCAAAACATCTAGCCCCAACAATTGCTCGTGTGTTGGGATCAATCGTTTTACATTTGTGCAAGGGAACATGCAAATCCATCAAGCCTGGGAAATCGCTCTGACCATTCTTTGCTGGTTCTGCCTTGAGTCGTTTTTCCAGTGCGCGACGTCTTGGGCCGCCGGGAACAGCATAAGAAGCAAGCTTAGCCACTAGAGCCATGCCCCCTACTGTAGCTCCAAAAGGCCCCCAAAAGGAGTATACAAGGGGGAACACTTGCGAGCCTCTTAAGTTCCACTAGAGAGGCCCAAGCCGTCGGTTTCTGCCTCATTGAGGTCAACGCTGACCTGACAGAACGGTCATGGAAGGAACTGACCCGACGAGCAGTGACGAGCCATGAACTGCCATAGCGTGCCTTCGTACCAACCGGAGAGCGCACCTCATCTGCCGCAAAAACAACTGCTGCATACAACAAGCGCCTGCCTACACCCCAAGCTAAGTTCCCCTGCAACCCCATCTTTTGATGTTCAGCTTTGATCAAGAAGCCTTAGAGTAAAAACGGGAAAAGGGTACTACCGGGGTACCTAGCAAGCATCAAACCCCCGGTTCCAGGTGCGCATGCTGGAGTTTAGGGTGTAGGGCCAGTTTCGAGGACCGTACCATCACCATCGCAATTACAAGTATTCCTAGTGCTACTAGTATTAGTGTTCCCAGCATTGCCAAATTGTTAATGGCTGCTCTGCTATCACTATCACTGAGCTCTTCTTTTTCTTTTTTGCTACTGTTACTGTCACCCAAGCCCTGTAACCCGTATGCCCCAAACCCAAATAATGACACTATTGCATCGCAAGGGCTTCGGACGCAAATGCGCACCCCTAAACCCCAAAAGCCGAGAAAATACTACAGGTTTGGCCCAGGTAGTATCCCCGTCACTAAACCCTGTAGTAATCCCTTACATCATCCCCTATATCACCCCTTTTTGGAGTTTAGACTAGAGCTCACATCTTGCACCTTGATGAGCCACCTTTTGTCGGGCGACCTTGCCTTGGAGCTGAGTGTCGCGCAGTGTCGCTTTTGTATTCTCCGAAGATGTTGCTAGTTCTTTTCGCTTCTACTGCCGCATTTCTGGAACGTGGGAGTGGGTATACTTGGGCCCAGACGATGAGGTCTTCATGGATCATCTGGATCTCCATGCAAGGGTCCTGCTCTGTTGGGCATATTATTCTAAATACAAGACAGCTGAGCTCTGGGGGCGGACGCTGCTGTGAAAGAGGCTATCGTAATGGCCTCGCGCCAGCAGTTTAACATGCGGATACTTGCCGTGGTCGGAGCTGTCTAAGGTCCCGGCGTGTGAAAGCTGCGCAGGCTTTGCATATGCAGCCTGAGATGTCAATGTACGGTTTGTGGAGCACGCATTAGGCTCTGACTAGTTCAAATTCTGGGTGGCCAGCCACACACCCAGGAGACCGCGGAGAAGAGCATGCCTCAGAGCGTTCTGACGATCTCATACGAGCCATAGTCTACCCTCCTAGCATCCCCCTTAATAACCCCTATGGTAGTCTCCTATATAATCCCTTATATAACTCCTTTAAGGAGTTTAGACGATGCCCGTACTAACTCCCTAAACCCTAAACCCTAAGCCCCAAACCTTGTTCTGCCCCTTGTGGACTGAGCACCTGACGCACGAAAGCAATCACCCGTGAAGCTGCCTGTTAGGAATCAAGGCTTTCAACGAACATTACCATTGGTAACATGATTAAAACTAGTAATAACAGTATTAATAAGAATAATACATATAATACGAATCATAATAGTCGTAATAGTAATACTAAGAATGATGCGAATAATAATAGTATTAGAAATACTAGTATTATCGCGATTATTTTTCGATTCGATTCCATACGCAGCAATGAGTCATTGCCTCGCGAGCTATTGTGAAACTTGGTCAGCCGAGTTGCCCCAATAATAACGATTAGTAAAAGTAACAATACTAGCAACAACAGTATTCATAGTAATAATGGCAGTAGGATTGGTTTGCAACCCCTAGCCACCTCATTGTGACATTGCACCTGCTCCAGCCACATGCTGCTAGGTGCCTCGGGTGGCAGCGGTTTGCACGCAACAAGCAGGGCGAAATGCAGGAGCAAACTTCGAAGCACAGTTGGGTAGCTGGCTGTCATGGTGCAGCTAAGAGTGGCGCACAACAGCCTTGAGCCCCGATGGCTGGCACGTGGAATTGCAGTCTGATCAGGACGCTGTAGGGAAAATTGGCACTATGCAAATCGAAACAACTGTGACGCAACTCTTTGATCATGAGTCCGAAGTGCACGGGAACTTATCACACAAACGCAGCAGCTGCTCCAAGCAGAGTTCAAAGACTTGAAATTGGAAATCGTCGGCGAGGCCACCAATCAGGCTGGAGTATTCTCCCATGCGCACATCCGTCACCTGCATCCACCTGCCGAACACCTTGTGGCAGTAATCGTGCGAGCTTTTGCTAGTTCAGACCTTGAATGTGCATAGTTCGCAAGAATGGTCTGCTGCTATCTCGACGCCATGGCACATGCTCAAAGGATCCATGCTGAGCATCCACTGGCAGCTTGCAAATATGCTGAGCGCAAGAGACTTCGAGCTCAGCAATCCTCTGTACATCCTCTCCTGTGTTACTTGCCAATCCATTTCACCAACCAAATTCAGGATGTCATCATCAAAGCGGCGTGTTCCAAAGTACCACAAATCTAGCAAGCGGGGGCGAATCATCCGGAACAGGTTCTTGTCTGATTCTATGAAAACTCGCAGAGCCTGCAGCGCGCTGCTGCGACATGTTTGGTTCCTGCTTGTCCCGCAAAGGTCCGACAGTGCCCACACGTAGGCCTGACTGAAACGGCCAAGTAAATGAGGTCCGCATTTGGCAAGAGCCACACAAATCTCAGTGCGGGCCTCATCTTGCGCATGCTTCAGCCAGTGTAACAAGTCCTTTGCAAAGAAGTGCCGAACACCTTTGTTCGCTGACATCTGGAAACGTCCCGCCCAAATTGCCATGGTCCGCTGCGAATTCTTCGCAATGTGCTCGTCTGGTGATGCGCAATGAAGGCGCAGGTGCCGTGCAACAGTAATCAGGGCGGGCATTGTGCCTGGCCAAGCTTTGTGCCAAGCATCGATGCCGCCGAAGAAACCCTCAAGACCTGCATGCATAACGCAAGCTCACCTCCTCTTCAGATTGCATGTAAAAACCAATAGCAGCAATAGCTATGGGAATGATGAAGGTAAAATACCAGTAAACAATGTCATAATGGAATTATTCGTAGGGATGGCAGTAAAATGCATCTTGGCATCCACGCCTGCTTTCCCTGCATGCAGCTGCCAACCTTCAAGGCCCTTGCTTTCCCAAAAGCCTTCAGCATGGGAGGTCTGGCAACACTCGCCAGCTGCCACAAAGATGTCCGGCCTGCGTGTTCTAGCAACTATATAGACAACGCACTCCATTGTTTTGCTGAGCTACGAACTTCGAGATCTTCATCAAATTGAAGAAATGCTCCACCAATACCTGCCAAAGTACGTTCATTGTTTGCACCCGGCAAGACCGCAGTACACGCTACAGCGCTTGTGTCATGTAATCTAGCCTCCTAGTTCCTAGTATTACCCCTAATGAGCCTTAGAATCCCTATATAATCCCCTTTAAGGAGTTTGGGTATAACTCATATGGACTACTGGGCCTGCGTAGGCAACGCCTCCCTGCAGCTGGCACGAAGAGCAGCGCAGTCGTGAACCTAAGAAGCAAGGCCCAGGCAAGACCTCTTTTCATCTGCAGTAGCCCTGAACCAGGGTAAGTTTTGGGGCCCTTTAGGGTTTAGGGTTTAGGGTATAAAAAATTGAATATCGTACGGCTTTATGAAAGCCAAAGCACAGAACTACGGCATGATCTCTTACGTAAGGTCATTGCGCACAATATCCAACATGCAACCTAAACCCTGAGTCCTCCAGCAAGAATAAGAACGTTTAGGGTTTAGGCTTCAGCCTAAACCCTCAACCCTGAGCCCCTAAACACGGGTACTTGGGACCTCAAACATCGGTCCAATGCAGAAAGGCTGCTGCGAGGTATCTGGACAGCATGCCCGGAAGCCTTGCAAGGAACAGGGTTTGGGGTTTAGTGCTTAGGGTTTAAGGGTTTAGGGTTTAGGGTTTAGGGTTTAGTGCTTAGGGTTTAAGGTTTAGGCATTAAGCAACTTGGAGACTCATGGGTTCAGGGCTTAGGGCTCAAGGACAGTTAGTGCTAGTTGAGG